TAATTATTCTGATGAAAGTTATATTCCGTTGCTATATTGTTTTACCGAGAGCGTTGCATGTTACTTTTGATCAGCTTATTACCTTTCTTTTTAGACGAATGAACGCCAGTCGATTTGAATTTTATAATTGATGAATGGAAATTTGATTTTTTCTATCTGCATTAACTGCTCAATTTTTCATTCAGTGTTGCTAATTATAATGTAGCCAACCTTCATTATTGATTATTTTTCATTTTGCTTTATTTCTCGGTCGTCCCAATAAATTGCATTTGTTAAATTCCTCCGAAATCCATTCGAATTAACTGACACTGATGCGAATGTAATTATTATGACGGTTAGTTGATTCTTATTAAGCCATCATTTGCTTATAAGAACATTCATTTTTGTTCTAATCAGCAACTCTCTCATTCTGTTCGTAGTATTGGTGCATGAATGATTATCACGTCTTTCAGTTGCTCTATCAGCATCCTCTTGAAGCCTTTCAAAGCCGCAATTAGCACAATTTGAACGTCTAGTAAACTCTTTGTTTGCTCAGCGAATCAATGTAAATCTTTCCACATATTTTTCGCCTCTGTTCGTCATCAGCCTTTCTCAGTTCTGCTGAATCATGTTTCGTGGTTTCTCGATCGACATTTTTCATCCTTTCACTTAGCTGAAAGTTTCAATGTTTTAAAGATTTATCTTATAACTTTTTATGGCTGTTTTAACGCTCAAATGGGCTAATGCTACACAAGAATTGAATTGAATTAATCTCTTGTTAGGAACCTATGTTTTGGGATTAGCAACACTGATGCTGATGTTGAATTGCTTCGCTGAGCGTTCAAAAACGATCGAAAAGTTTTGACTTTTATCGTCCTTTCTTCATTTGATAAGAAACTCGTATCAGTTTTCATTTATCACTCATACCTTATCAGCACTACGATAGCAACTGACACTGATGCGAATGTAATTTTACGCTGATAAGTCGCGGTGATTTTTGGCTTTGTCTGAAAAGGAAATATTATCTGAAACATCGAACTCGTTAAAATGCCATTCATATACGCACGAACACATATACGGATGATGCCGTTAGACTTTTTTCGATCAATAGCCATCGTTAATAATTGGAATCGCATTGCATATTCAATGAGGTACTCTTTCTCATTTGACTTATTCGGATTTCAGACAGTTGATCGATGAACTGACGTCATTTTTATTCTTTAAGCCTACAAATAGCGAGAGTCTTACTAACTCATTCTACGAATACCACTGACAACTTTTGATCGTGAAATGGTCGTAAGATCATCATTAAGACATCTTTCATGGCCTATTAATACCAGATGATTTCTTATAATCTGAAAGGTTACTTTAACGTTTGTTTGAGCTATTCAAGAGTACGTTTGTTCGTCGTAGAACAATACTCAATTATCGTTGATCGCTAATTCTCTTATTCCCACTACTTATTTTGAAGTACCTAGCGACTTTCAGCTCGATTCACTGTCAGTTTTTGAGGTAAATTATTATTCATCAATCATATTTTGAGTAGGCCAAAAGTTGCACTACGTTCAGCTGTGTTTACGAGCGAACAAAGATTTATAAAACTCCACATTCATCGTCGTTTATGTGGCGAACGTCAAGTATGTGTGGCTCATAACTAATGAAACCTACACAATAAGCATATATTTGTGCTCATGATATACTTGTTGTGCACACATGATAATATACTCATTTGCACACGCTCACGTTTATATGAATAAACTGTATAAATAATTCATGCACTAACTGAATAGTATTCTAACATTCATGTTCCTCGATAATTGAATTTGCATCATGCATATTTTGTGATCAACTGCAAACTGCAAATCAACCAACCCATGCGGCAGTTGGTTGAGCGTTCGTTTCTGAGCTTAGCTTAAAGCTTAAACCATATGCCGTAAGCGTCAGAATTTCTTAGAAGAGAATCATCAGTGGGTTTGTTGCTCAGCGACGTTATGTGGACGTCGTCGAATGGACGAGCTTGGTAACCTCATTTCAACTTGTGCCTCTATTCAGCAACGAATGCTTTTTTCTGGCGGCGTTCAATTTACAATACTATGAGGAATAACGCATTAGTACGATGAGGAAGGAAATGTGCTCCGTTCTGCTAATAGTATCCCTCATGAGGATATGCGCTCGTTAATCGGCGAAATGACATCCGATCAGTTCAGTTTCTGAAAATGATAACTAAAAAAGTGATCGTGGAAGTAAATGAAAGTGAAACTTATTTCGTATACTGTGAAAAATCGCTTATGACACCTATCGTTCAGTCTTATCGGATTTAGCTGATAGAACACTGATTTGTTACCGCTGTTTTTTGTTTTGTTATTGTCTCGATCGTCGCACATTGTTGGTTGGCCACAGTATGGATTGATTTCTTTAGTTGTTGTTGTTATCGTTTCATATTGATTTATTTCTACTGAAAGGTGTTCTTCGTTCTGTTATCATATAGAACCTTCAATGTAGAGATTTAGAACCTTCACTTGATTTTTCGTGAACATAACCACAGATTTTTGTTTGATTGAACCTCAAATTCTCTTAAAATTATGAAAATTCGCTTGAATCGACCTCGGTTATTGGCGTTACAACTTCCGATTTAGTCTTACTCTATGCAGCTGATATTGCCAATGGGATGAATATGAAATAGTGAGTT